TCCGAAGAAGTGATGGAATAATTGATAATTGTTTACTACAGTAAATACTAAACCTAGGATTCATAGGAATTTTAAATAAAATCCAACCCATCACTAAAATAACCCATATCGACGGTGAAACTACCAAACCACGTATCTCGTTTGCGGTGTTTAAAAATCTACGCTCACATTTTATTTTTTTGAAGTAGAACAAATCAATATCATTCCTTGAAATTTTCACGGAATTTTCTCCGCACAAAGAGGAAAAATCTCAGAAATTTTCAAGACTGGATGTTAAGTAGTTTTTCATTTAAAAAATAAAGTATGACAGGAAGTCTGCGACGTCGCAAACCGAGATACGTGGTTTGGTAGTTTCACCGTCGATATGTATATACTCGTGGTGCCTGCTCTCGGCTCGATTTCGCCGAATGGAATTCTTTATCATCGCGGTTGTCCTTGTTGCGTGCGGGAGGAAATGAAGGCACGCTCGCAGTAGCAAGAAGCAGACGCGCCAGGTTGCTTGCGACGCGTGAATGTAGCTTAACCTCCACAGATTAACAAACCGTCGAGCAGCCACGCGAAAAGTCCTATACCTACATAGAGAAAAAAAAGGAGATATTTGCATCTTGAAGTTTGTTTACCCTGTGACGTAGGTCTGTACAACCTGGCCAGCGAAATCCGAAATTCGAACTATGAAAAATTGACCATAATTTCCGATTTTCCGCGGTGTAAAATACACAACTCAGCAGAAGAAAGAAAGAAAAATCGATTCGATATTTCTGGAGATAAATGTATCGATACGGACGATATATCAACGTTGAAATATCGATACAATATTTTGGTCTAAAATATCGATAGTCTGGTGGCGCGGAGCGTCTTAGGGGGGGGGGGTTTGGGCGCGTAGCGGCCAGTCGCTAGAATATCGCACCCGAGGCCCGAACCCAAATTGAGCCTCATTCGAGCGGGTCTCAAAGCGGGGCCCAAGGCTGCAATCGCGGCCCCGCTAGGCTAGCGGCCACCGACCCTCGGAAAAGTCATAAAAACGAATGACGCTGATCAATGTTCCCACAAAAATGACGCGGCGCAACGGCTGCGGCCACACCGGAACGTGACTGTAAGAGGAGGAAGGGGGGAGGGAGGGCCCCCTTCGGCCCTGGCGAGAGTAATAAAAACGAGCATTGGAGCCAAATTGGTCTTTTTGTTATTTAGAGATAGTGTCCTAGCCTAAGTTTATTTAAAAAACAATTAAATAAGAGGAAGGATTTCAACCCTGAAAAATGTGCTGCTCTCTCCAGGACCACGGATAACCTGTGACCCTGGGATCTTTGTCAGTTTTGGTGAGCACAGTTACAGAGATGGACCATTTTTTTTAGGGAGCGAACAAATCAAAATTTTGAGCCTTAAGTTGATCGCAACCATATCCGGAAGTCGTTACAGTGACATTTTTGTGCAATATGCTTCTGTGGAAAGTGCAATACTTAATGAATACTTTTGACAAATCGTGTTTTATCCGGTTTGCGCTTCAAACGTGATTTATTTGTGGAGTGTCATACCTTCCTTTTTGAATTGAAAAACTCGTCAGATGCATTGGGTAATGGAGTAAGGCATCTCTCATTTCTTAACGCAGGGGGCGGCAAATTTTGCATTTTTTTAAAATGTAGGTTTAAAAAAAATCGGATTCAGAAAAAAAAAATTACAAACGAGAAAGCGTCTTTCGGTGACACAAGAGACAGCACCTTTAATTAGTCGAGTTAAGAGAGAAACTAGACACGCAATTTGGCATGGAGCGGTGCAGCAGTGATGATGAGGACTTGAGATAAAAAGGAGAAGCCCTCAGCGCGGCGCATGGTTAATCGAGTCAATGAGAGAGGTCGGAAAAAATTTGGGAACTTAAAACGCTCATAACTCCGTTTATACAAGAATCTAATGTTCTGCAAGCTGTTCCACTGGTTTTCTTGTGATATTTTCTTCCAGTATCACCCCTTGAACTTTAAAATGTGACAAAATAAACATCAACATTTGCAGTTTATGTCAAAAATTTCATGTCCGACCCCTCTAATTGACTCAATTCACTGTGCGGCGGTCGGCGTGAAACGCATAGCGCCTACAAGACTGTAGGAATACTTCACGCATTGCGCCAAACACAGTGCGGTCAGCGCGGCGCGCCGGCGGAAGTTAAAATTATTAAACCACATTTATGTTTGTTCTTGCATAATTTTTACCTTCATTTCTTACAAATGGAAGGCCTTGTTCACACATATGTAGATAGGTTTACGGAACTTAACTTTCACGCAAAGTTCCGTGCGAACTTTTGCTAGTAGTGAGGGGCATAGTGTCCTTTCTTTTAATTTTTCTTGTTTTGCCGGTTGAAAATGCGGGTGTGATCCCTGCGAAACGTCCTGGGTTTCTTATTATATTTTATGTGTTTCTCTTTTTATTGTTATTTGCGGCCTTAGTCCCGTTTTAAGTTGTTTCTCTGTTACTGTTTCGGGCCGATTAAGTTGTTTTTTTTTGATGTTTCGAAACGATGAGAAGGGGGCAGCAAAATACAGGTGGCCCATAGGCAGCAAGTGGGTCAATTCGGCCCATGGGCGGCAAGTAGGTAAATCCAGCCCTGCTTTTTAAATGAATTTTGAGTCAAATTTACGTGAGAAATTGATTTACCAAGATTATTTTTCTTAATTAAAATTAACTTTCTTTTTAATACAGTTTTTACGTAAATACATTTGTTCGTAATTTCCAATACTTTTTACGAAATTTTTATGTTAATTTAATTATTATGTAAATTTGACTTCCTTTTCCAAATTTTTTCTTTTTTCGCGTTTTTCTGTGACTTTTAACAATTTTAGACTTTCTTTCCTTACTCTAGTAAGGATCTAGTCGTCAGAATCTATTCTGAACGACAACTTACATTCATAGAAAATAAAGCTTTAAATGTTCCTGACCATTTTTTACCATCCAAACTCACTAGAACACATTGTATAGGTATATGAAAAATTTGAAGAGCATCGCTGTCAAAAGCTAAGTTCTCCTTCAATTTAGCTCTTTTTGTATGGTCTACGGGTAAGGACAAAACTAACTGTTTTTGCTAAACGCTTTCTGTTTTTTATTCATAAAATTTGAAAGTCTCAATGAAAGCAAAGGTATGTCCAATCACAGCTAGGTATTTTTATTTTGAGACTGCACATCCCAACTTCTCCCACTTTTTCAGCCGAATTATTTTTTTTTGGGCTAGATTTTGGTTGGTGCAGTAATGCTGATGGTTATTTTTAGAAGACTATGATGGTGAAACCTAAAGTTTCCAATGATATTTTATCAGCATAGTAAACTCAACGACGACTTCAATCATAAATAATTCCATTTAGCGAAATCAAGCTGAAAGGCACACGTAAGGGTTCATGAAAGTTGAAGTCATAGCTCAACATTATAGGGTAGGTTCAAGTAACTTTTAACGTGTTTCAGACTTTTGTTTCTTACCGTAGACCCTGAAAAACCACTTAAATTCAAGGAAAATAAAGCCTTAAATGTTCATACCCATTTTTAAATGTCAGAACTCACTAGACCACATTATATTCATGATAAATTTGAAGAATATCGCTGTGAAAAGTTGAGTTTTCCATAGATTTAGCACTTTCCGTATGGTCTTTAAGGTAATGACAAAAAGTGCTAAATTGAAGGAGAACTCAACTTTTGACAGCGATATTCTTTAAAGTCATCATGAATATAATGTGGTCTAGAGAGTTCTGATGGTTAAAAAACGGTTATGAACGTTGAAAAATTTTAGTTCGATGAATTGAAGTTGTCCCTTAAGGTCCATTAGCGCTAAGGAAAAAAATTCTAAAACTTGTTTGAACCAACCCTATAATATTCTCCCACAGGATTCACTTTCAGACAGTAATAATTAATCAACATAAACATCAACCATTACTGATAAATCATCAAAGATCCTATTGGGAGAAATTCAGCCAAAAAGCACCAGTTTGGAGTCTTGACATTTTGGCCACCGTTGGTTGCTTATTTACGCTATTAAACTGTGACTCGATGATAAAGAATGCCATTAGGCGACATTGAACCGAAAGGCACCAGTGTGGGTTCTTTACATTATGGTCACAGTTGATTGCTAAACGCTACCAAACCATGGCTAAATGATCAGAAATTCCATTTGGCGACACATGTTAACACTCTTTGAACATCTGAGGTATGAGTTCTGGAAATTTTGGCTATACTTGGTTGCTAAACGCTACTTAACAGTAAATGTTCAACAGTGATTTGATGATAAAGAATGCCATTGGGCGACATTCCGCCGAAAGGCACCTGTGTGGGTTCTTTACATTATGGTCACAGTTGATTGCTAAACGCTACCAAACCATGGCTAAATGATCAGAAATTCCATTTGGCATAATGGAGATGTTGCATGTGTGAGGAATTTGCGATTTGACTGATGAATCTTGTGTAAAAGGTCACGAGAAACACGATGGTGCCACTGGTTTTCTCTGAAATCATCTCCCAAGCTTAAAAAAAAGCACTCAAGTTGAGGCCAAAATGGAGGGAATATCCCACCCTACCCTGAGAGTCCAAGTCTAGATCAAGACCAACTCTCCATGCAAAGATAGGGAACTAATACATTGACAGGGCTACCAATTTATCTGGGGACTCCAAAACTGAAAACGCGGCAACCCTGCTAATGTATTTGCTCCCTATCTTTGCATGGAGAGTTTGTCTTCATGTAGACGTGGACTCTCAGGGTAAGGTGGGATATCCCCTCCATTTTGGCCTCAACTTGAGAGCTTTTTTTGAGCTTGGGAGATGATTTCAGAGAAAACCAGTGGCACCATTGTGTTCCTTGCGAACTTTTATACAAGAATCAACAGTCAAATTGCAAATTCCTCGCACATATAACATCTCCATTGGGCCAAAATGCACCGATATCAATACCTCATATGTTACTTGGTTCCTCGAAAATTCTTCTCTTGGACTTAGCCTAAAAGTGTGAACATTTTTTAGCCTCCGGCGAAACCTTGAGTCTATACGGCTTCGCCGCACGACTAAAAAGGGGACATTGGTGATATCATTTTCAATGTTTGTTTACTGATTTGCATCGAATTGGCGTCAGGGGGGGGTGATGAGATTTAAGCTCCGCGCGCGGTGACCGGTAGCCGATGACGCGCAAGTGTTGTGATAGCAGTGATCAAAGCTGATTGACACGGTACCAGATGTCCGGTTGGTGATAACAATGGCTACAAACACTCCTGGTAAGTTATTCAATTAAGATTTTATCGTAAAAATTATTTTTTCAACTTCTAAACATTACTTTTAAGCAAGTTTTTCGATGGTACTCTAATTCAGTATTCTTCCCTCTTACTTAAACTTTATAGACGTTTATAAGAAAAACCTAAAATAACCTTTTTTCCTGACAAGTGATAATGATTGCAAATATCCTGTAGATTCTGAATTTTAAAGTCCCATCTGCGTTTGGCTGCGAATAATAAAGTTATAAAGTTTTTTCTGTCTCAAGGTCTTGCTCTGAAAAACTCTGATCTCTTCGACTTATGGACACGGACATCGAAGGAGGAGTGAGTTACAACAATTGAGGGGAAACTCCGAGAACTATTCGCAACCCAACGTGTCTCAGACGAAAATTGGACAAAATTTTTTATATTTTTTATGGATTTTTTAAATTTTTTGTGGATTTTTTGTTTTTATCTGTCTTTTTTCTCTTGTCTCTTGTGAAGTTTAATTTTGCTGTTAATTTTCGATGATATTTTACTGTGCTGAATTTTTTATTTTTTGAAATGCCTTTTCCTTTTTATTAAAGACTTGTAATATGACCAAATCCAAGTGTTTGTCCTTTTTCTCATGCTGATCCTCGGAAACCTCATTATTTTATTGTGTATATTTGAATTTTTCAGCTTTCATTTCACGCGGCATTGAAATTCGGAATGAAAGAAAGGATAGACCTTAGCCTTGTTAGGTCCAGAGTTAAAAAATAAAATATGCATCGTTAGTATCTGTAAGTATACAGTCTATTTTTGGAGCGAGCTTGCGAGAATCTATACATTTTTTTTTTTTTTTTTCTGTTGTTTTATGGCTTTGTGTCTAAGCACCTGCAGCCAACTTTAGACTAGTGTGATAGTGTAGAGAGAAGGTTACAGGTGACTAGTTACCGACTTTAGAGGTGTGAAAAAGAAAAAACTAAAAACATGGAAAAAGGTGAGAGATTGATAAAAAGGAGGAGTTGAGTAGAGAGAGGGTGAGAACCCTTCACCATTTTCACGCTCTGATACCCGGCAGAGCGACTTCCTATGACCAGAGACTGGGTAATGGAAAACAAACAAAGTGAACATACGGTAGGGATTGAATGTGTTAGAGAGAATGATTTGTTTGGACAAAAGGTAGATTGAATAAAACAGAGGGTAAGACGGTTGGTGGGAGTGAAAAATAAATATAGGGAAATTATTAGTGTAAGAATGAAGATTTGGTAGATTAGAGGTGGATATCATTTTTATCTAGAAAAAGGGCTATGGATTTAAGGGTATTGAGGTCGCCGACCGAAAGAAGATATAGGGTTGAATAGGGTGGGAAGATTTCAAATTTATTTATAAGTTCAGAAAAAAGGGTATTTCTATTTTTAAGTTTATCACATTGGAAAAGGATATGTTCTAGGTTTCCAATGGAACCACATTCACACAAATTAGAGGTTGTTAAGTTAATTCTAAACAAGTGAGTGGGGTACAGGCCATGACCAATTCTAAGTCTAATTAGATTCGTGATAAGGGAGCGTTTCCAGTCAAGTCTATAAAACCAAGGTTTACGAGAGAGAGTAGGGAGAAGAGATTTTAGTCTTTGGCCTTTCCACGTACAAGCTATCCAATCAGAGTTCCAATCGTTAAAGTTTTGTTGGGAGATAAGGGGGAACAATTGTTTAAAAAAGATTTTATTATCAATTGGCTGAGCTAAATGAATAGATTTAGTCAATTGATCAACTCTTTCGTTACCTAATATTCCTGAGTGACTAGGGATCCAGATCAGCCAAATATTCCTTTCTCGGTATCTAAACAAGATTTCTTTAGTTTCTTCAATGAGGGGGTGGAGGTCCGGTTGTTGATTAATCAGGTTAACTAATACGCTATGAGAGTCTGTACAAATTGCAACATTGGAAAGATTAAGGTTAATACTGTGTTCAACAGCTTGGAGAATAGCCCACGTTTCGGCTTCAAATATAGAATTATATTCCGATAGAGAATAGACTTTATAGAATTCATTAGAGAGAAAGGCTGACGTGGTATATTCAGCCGTCTTGGCGCCATCAGTATAATACTGGGTAAAGTTTCTAAATTTTAATCTCATTAATTCGTTAAAGTTCATTTGGATTGAAATGTGATCAGATAGTTTTTTTTTAGGAATGTCTAAGAAGATGGTATTAGGTTGGAAAAATTGGAAAACAGGATCTCTCATAAGCGAGCACGGCAAATCGCTTTTTAAGATTTTGGGAAGTAAAGGATTTCTCAGAATCCATCTGTTAAGAAAAAGAGGGTGTTGTTTATTAACCCAATAGTTACTATTCATAATTGATCTCTCAAGCAGCTTTATATTCCTTATAATGGGGCTGTGCTTCATGCTCATTGCTCTGATTAGAAGTTTATCTGTTAGGAAGTTAAATCTATTAAGGATAGGGGGAATAGCTGACTCAGCGTTTAGATTGTTGGTAGGGGTTGATCTAAGAACACTTAAAGTTTTACGTAGGCAAGAATTTTGGAGTATATTAGTTCTTTCAATAAGATTAAAATTTCTACAGTATATTGGGAGGCCGAAATCAAGAATCGGGCGAATCATACTCATGAAAAGTTTTCGAGAAACGTCCTGGTTAATGCCCCAAGAACAACCATGTAGATATGACAAGATGTTTAATTTACAAGAAATTTTAAGTTTAATAGAATTAATATGTGGAAGCCAATTCATTTTTCTAGTATATAGAGGGCCTAAATATGTGGCCGAGGGAAGTACAGGGATTAAGAAATCATCAAGATTAAAAGAAAGGTTATCAGGGAGTCTCCTAGTAGAAAAAATAATAGCCTGGATTTTAGGGAGAGAAAGGTCAAGTCCTAGAGCTGAGAGTGCATTGTTAATACACTTAAGGTCTGAATTAAGTAACTCCATCGCTACATCTAATTTCTTATGGATGTTATAAATAGATATGTCATCAGCAAATTCAGAAATGTATGATGTAGAGAGGGATTTAAATAAATCAGAGGTGTAAATAAGGTAAAGTAACGGACTAAGGATACCACCTTGGGTCAGGCCTTTAGGTTGGAGGCGCGGATTCGTAGTTTTATTGAAATATGAGACTATAATGGAGTTATTTGAAATAAGATTAAAAATAATACGAGCTAGATCAGGGTTAATGCCAATTGAAATGAGTTTCTTATAAAGGATATTATAGTTAACGTTATTGTAGGCATTTTTAATATCCAAAAAAAGAGTTGCCATATAAGCTTTTTCACCGATCGCCTTATAGGCATGGCTGGAAATTTGAAAATGGTTATGATATACATTTTTTCCCTTTCTAAATCCGAATTGGAAAGGAGAGAGTTTATGATTTTTTTCGAGGAAGAATTCTAACCGATTGAGAATTATTCTTTCAAAAAGTTTCCTATAAGCAGAGATAATTCCAATCGGTCTATAGGAGGAGGCTAATTGAGGATCTTTGTCTTTCTTTAAACTAGTGAAGATTTTAACGTTTTTCCAGTCATCGGGTATCTTTTTGGTAATTAGGATATTGTTAAAAATGTCAAGGAGGATATTTTGGGCTTTGGTGGGGGCTTCTGAAATGAATTCAACCAAGGTGTCATCTAAACCAGGATTCTTCTTTTTAAGTTTCTTAATTGCCAAAAAGAATTCTTCTTTCGAAATTTTTTCAAATGAGTTAGAGAAGGATGAAGAGTTGTTCCATTGTTTAGAGAACTGAGAATCAGGGGTAAGGGTTAGATGAAGATCATCAATCCAATCAAAATTAATGTCTTGATACGGGGTTAGTGATCTGTTAAGAATCCTAACTTTTTCAAAAATTTCTTTAGCAGGAGTGAAATGATTAAGTTTGTCAGTGAATTCTCTCCAATTTTTCTTTTTTGTACTTTTAACCAGGAGTTTAAATTCAGCGTTGGTCTTCTTATATTCTAAAAAAGTAGATAAGGAACAATTTCTCTGGTAATCTCTTAGGAGAAAGTCACGTTTATTTTTTAACATTTGACATTCCTCATTCCACCAGGGTATTCTTTTATATTTCTTGGGTTTAGAAGGAATAGTGGTTGTCGAAGAAGAGGGAGGGAGTTGGACAAACTGGGAATGAGGAGTTTTCAGTAATCTCTCATCTCTAACGCTGTTGGCGTAGGCTTCTTTCACTATATTGATATAGCTATCATAACTGTAGTAGGAACAGGTGAGAAGTTGATTAAGGTGTGATTTAAACAAACTCCAGTTTTCCAATTTTGGTAACTTTCCTAGTTTAGGAAGAGCAAATGAGGAGGTGGAAGGTATCGAGGTGATATCTGAAGAGATTGTTTTATTTAAGAAGTAGGAGCATGGTAGGTGATCACTACCACCTGTTTGAAGAGCATTCCAGTAAGTGTTCCTACAGAGTGGTTCAGAAATAAAGGCCAAATCATTGAATCTAAGGCTACGGCCCGGAGCAGTTTTTCTTGTTGGTTGGGGATTAAGTGAGTTGATATTGAAAAGATCTAAATGATGGGAAAGGTTAACGAGAACTTCACCTCTAGGGTCACTAGAAGGGTAGCCCCACAGGGGGTGCTCTGCATTACAATCACCAGCCCAGAAAAGAGGTTTGCCAACCAGGTTATTGGATTCAAAGAAGGTCAAAAGGTTGTTCAGTAGAAATTTACTTGTGGGATTGATGTACATATTCAAAAAGAAGAATTCAGATGAATTATCAAATATAAGTTTGAAGGATTGTGTTTCTATTCTTGAGTTTAATAGTGATGTAGTGTCTAAGGAAAGACGTTGAAATTTATATTTGATTTTAATTAGTGATAAGAGGCCACCGTAACCATCGTCGCGATCGTCTCTTATAATGTTGTAACCTGGAAATTTGATTCGAGAAGAGTTATTTAACCAGGTTTCAGATAACAAAACTATATCTGGTTTCAAGTCAGAAAGAAGAATTTTGAGGTCAGTTTCATTAGAGAGTAAAGATCTCATATTCCAGTTCAGGATATGAAAGTTTGAGGGAAGAGTAGATAAAGTTGGAGGTGACATAAGGAGAGAGTGTTAGAGGGGAAAGAGGGGAAGTAGGGGGGTTAAAAAGAAAGGGAAAAAAAGAAAAAGGGATTAAAAACAGAACTGGGTTTTAGGGGGGAAGATCAGGGAGATAGAGTAGTCTCACTACCAATATCCATCAGGACTAGTGAGGAGACAGGTTCCGAAGAAAGGGTAAGAGTGGGAGAAGGTGTATTGATAGTGGATTGTGAAGGATTTGTCTTTTTAGTTTGGAGATTGGTTGGGGTTATTGATTTTGTAGAAGAAGAAGGTTTGTATTGTTGTTGGGGTGCTTGTTTCTGTCCAGTATTAGGAGGTTGTACCGGGGATCTAGCGGAAGGGGTTTGTTTCGTAGGTATGGTAGATGAATTAGAATATGAAGAGTTTTTGTTACTAGGGGGAGGAGCCAATTTAAGTTGCTGTTGTCCTAAGTGTGATTGAGAGACACTAGTTTGGTTTCCTTTATTCGGAACGGGCCAGAAACCTTTATTCTGATCACTAATTGGTTTATGGATCTGAGTAGAAGAAGATTGGATTTGATAGTTTTTAAGCCATCTATCGGAAGGCATTACTGGATCGTTAACCTCTGAAATCTTAACTTTCTTTCTTATAGGAGAGGGGGAAAGAACGACTTCTGAATAGGGTCTTCTAAGGTCGTCGATAGAATATTGAAAGTTATCAGGACTTGTTTGTTCTTGGTCATTGTTTGAGGTTAGAACTAGATATTTATTATTCAGGACCGGGAAGTTCTTGGGATCGATATCATCAATAGAAATGGTCTCTCCTGCCTTAATTTTATTCTGGATTGCTAGAAGTCTGTCATTCAGGGTCAGTTTGATATTTTCGGTTTTCAGCATCTCAAGTTTTTTGGTTGCTTCATGAAAGCTAAGGTTTTCAAAGGCCATAATTTTTTTAATAGATTTCTGTTCAAGTAATGAAGGACAGGAAGGGTCAAAGGTTTTGTGGGGACCTTTGCAATGAAGACATTTGGTTGTATTAGGGCAAATATCATGCGCAGCATGTTGGTCTGAGCAGTTTGGGCATCGATTAAGACCTTTACAAGTTAAGATACCCTTAAATTCAGCACGATGACCATAGTTTAAACAGTTAGAACAGGTTGTAACGTTGTAGATATAGGGGGTAGCTTTGCAACGAGAATAGAAGATATAAAAGAAATCAGGACGGGTAGTACCTTCCCAAAGAAGTTCAAGTTTAGGGGTAGGAGTTAAAACACCTTTCTCATTTCTTCGGAAGATACGTCGAACTGAGATAACATTAGCATATTTATCTTTTAGATAGTTGCCTATAGATTCAATGCCTAGGTCTGTATGTACGTCATTGATTACTAATCTACGAGTAATATAATTGAGGGGAATGAAAA